ATGCGTAAAAACAAAAAAGTACATGCTTTTTACGGCCCGCACTGTATCTATATATATAATGAGTTAGTCATACAAGTATAAGTGTAGATAGAGGAAAAATCATTAAAGTCCAAATATTCATAATGGATTAGTATTAATCATTTAATATAAACCATTCATGAAGAAAGACAAGTTTACATTTGAAAAGTCAATCTTCGTTCTTAGCTCTTTTTAAGGAATTTAATTATGATTTCAATAAAAACGAACTAACAGTTAACCAAAAATATAAAATAAATGTCTTGAGAGTAAAAACTGAAAATATTAAAAAATAGATAAAGAATAAATCTTATTACTTTAAATAACTTTTATATTTCTCACTAAAGAGCAAAATACAAGATTTTGTAACTAAAGATTTTGTAGGTTTTCTTAGAAAATATATCTTGTCTTTTGCTTTGTAGTACGAAGTTTAAAAGTTATATAAATTGAAAAATTAATTTTTTATCCGTTTTTCTATTTTATATTTTCATTATTCATTTTTTTTAAAATAATGTCCTGAGACAAATTCCAGTTTCATTATGCATAAGCTTTCTTTAATCAACATAGTGATAGCGAAATATATTTTTATGATTGATGATAAAAAAATTCCTTTCTCTATTTTTGTTCGTTTGATTTCATAGTATTTGAGAGGTATGAGTTTCGCTGGCTTAAAAAATTTTAGCATGTATCTGTTTCGTCGTACAGTATTAATCTTATGTCTACAATCAAGTTATCAAACATCGTTTTTCACATTGTAGTCCCGCAGAGATTACGCTAGCATCTTTTAAACAAAATGTTCTATGCCATTGTCTGAACATGAAAATAGAAAAAATTTAGGTATAGTTATTCAGTAATCTTAAATATAATTAATTAAATCGATGATGAACGATTTCTGATACTTTTTTTCAACCAAACGGTAAAATATTACAGTAGATTTACGCTTGTCTATTATTATAAGTAGCATTCAAAAAGCTGCAAGTTGTTTATATTATTTTCTTTCTTGTTTAATCTTATAGATTTGAAGATTGTTTCTGCTTCTTTTTTTCGAGACAAATCTGTATGTCATAGTTTATAGAACTGCTTATGCGATTTCAAACACACTCACGTGTCTTTATTGACGATTGTAAAAAAAGTAAAACAATAAAACTTAAAAGAAATTTTTTAACATAAAAAAAGGCAACGTTCAAACAAACCACATATTATTTTGAATTTTATCATTTAATATCATAACTTTAGTTTCAATATCTTTTAATGAAATATTTTCCGATTCATCAAAGTCATCATCACTAAAACAAAAATTATAAAAACATAACAATAAAAACTTGAAATAGAAAAAAAAGAGTTCTTACACTGACTTTTCTTCATGTCGATCAAGATCATCACCAAATTTATACATACGAGCAGCATGTGCAGCTAAATCTGCATAATGAATTGGAGCTGGAACCGAGACTGATTTTGTGCAACGAGCATCCGTATGACAAAGCTATTTCAACAAAATTCAATAAATTATTTATTTATTTATTTAAAAAATACATACCCAATAAGTAAGTTGTTGAATATCATCACTACTAAAACCATTTTCATCATGAAGAACATGATAAAGAGTTGGACGAGATGTACCCATTCTATTAATCAATTAATCGAATTCAATCATTATAAAGGAAAACAAAGACTTACATTGCAGCTTGTGAACACAAGTAAAAGTCAAATTGTGATGGATGTGTAATATCTTGATCAATAACTGTGCCTGCTTCTATATTACTTGTACGTTGGCCATCATAACCAAAGAACCGTGTGTTATGTCCTCTCTTAGCAATAACAAATGTTAATCTAGGTAATTGTAACTTTCCGTACACAACTAAACATACACAAAAAATAAACAAATTCAAAATTAAATTAAATTTACCGCGACAAGCATCTTTTATTTTATTTATTTCATTATCAAGTACTTTTTGAAACTGTCCATCGTCAACACCATCACGATAAAAAACAATACGATTAGGTAAACGATTACCACATGTACGAATAAAAACTTTAAGTAAATCAATAATCATTTTATCTAATTCTTTGATAATTTCTACCGAACAACGACCTTGTTTTGGATATTCTTTAAGTAAAAATAAAAAAAGATATTTTCCAAAAAATTAAAATTTGAAATAGAGAAAATATACGTTCACTAAGACGTGCTGCGTAACGACTACAAGTTGGATCACACGAACCAACAACAGCTGCAATTGATGAATGATCAATCGAACAAGTTGTATGAGTAACCTACATGAAAAAATTGAAAAAATAAATCTTGATTAAATGTATATCCTACATCAGCACCAAAGAACATAAATAAATCTTCATGTGATGAATGACTAAGTGCTGCTTTTAAATTAACAATTCCATTAATACCACCGATTTTTGCATTGATTTTTTGACTTAAATTTTGAACATCTGAAAATAATTTCATTAAAACAATTGACTTAAGAAAATATAAAATCTTTACACATGCGATATTTGCCAGAATTTCGTTGAAGTGATTGAAAATTAACACATTGAGTAGTTACACCGAGTGTTTGATTACCCCATTGTTTAATACATTCATAAACTTCTGGTTGAACATCATTAAGTACAACAATGGCTATTTGCCATTTTTCATTACTAGCTCTTTTCATTGCAACTTCAATTTCTTCACTTCGAGGAGGTTGTGCAATAGTCTTCGGTTTTGATGTAAATATCACACCGAATTCAGCTGTTAGCTAAAAATTATTTTCAATCAATAAGATGATAAAATATGATGAAAATTTACTTGTGGAAGTTGATTTTGAAAGTCTGTTAAAATATCAATTATATATTTATCAAGTTTAGGACCAAAATATATCATTCCCCATTGATTAATCATCGGACTATTATAAAATCGATTTCTTATTGACCATTTTCCTACTGCAACATCTTCAGCGACTTCATTATTTTTTGAACCACGATATTTAACTTCCGGTGTTGGTAAAATACGAGCTAAATTTATCAATAAAATTCTAATCAAATCTTAAATCTCTTAATTTACCTTTAATTTGTATCATTTCATTTGTATCTACTTTGATATTTAATGCTCGTAAATATGAATCTGATTGAAAATTTCTTTGTCGTACAATTTTCATAATATCATCATATCGTTTATCGGGTTTAATAATTGTTGTTTTTGAAACAAGAGCACGTTGAACACTATCAAGTGGTCTTAAAGCACGTTCCCATTCAACAATCTATTAAATAAAATTAGTAAATAGAATATATGTTTTCATTGATAAATTTTACTTTAACAACTTCCATTGGTAACCAATGTGCTTTTTCTTCATTTGAATTTCTAGCATCAACACAAGGAAGATGAGGATATTCTAATCGTTTATATTTTATAGAAAAATATTCAGCAACACTAATTGATTTCTCCAATGTTGTTGCTGTTGTTTGATCTTTATCAGAATGAAGATTAAATGTTAATTGATTTGCTGATTTACCAAAACCTTTTACTCGATATCGAAGAGGACGACCGGTATGAGTTGTTTCAACTATATTAGAAGAAAAAAAAAGATTTCTCTTTAAAGAATAATTAAACATTGAAATATACTTGGAAGATTTTTAAAAAGTCGTTTTATTCCTTCGATTTCAGTTTCAGTAATTCTTTGGGTGATATCTTTTCGTAAATATTTACAAGAAAAATCAACAAAATTTAATGGTAAATAAAAACATGTAAATGCTAAATTAATATTCAACGTTGGTCCACCATGTGTAAGACATAATGCTTGATGAAAACCACTAGCCATACCACGTCCATCACCTTTAATTAATTTATCAAAATAAACACAAATCTTAATACAAAAAAAAAACTTACCAAGATCAATTAGTTTTTGACGTCGACTATAAAATTTATTTCGTATACAAACAAGATCATTACGAATACTCTGTTTAAATAAAGTTTCAATGACTCGTACAGGATCTCGTGGTCGTGTTACAGTTCGTCCATTAATAAAATCAAAAATATCACGAATCTTTTCTTGACGAACAAGATTCAATACTTTAAATTCAAATATTTTATCTTCATTATTGATTTTTAATGTAATACGAATTGGTTTTGTAAAATCTGTTAATAATTCTCTGGTATACAAATTTTTACCTTCGTCATACCTAATATATAATATTAATAATATATAATATTAATAAAAATTTTTTTTTTTTGTCATTTTAGTTTAAAACAAAAATCATAACAACAAGAAAAACTTACCAGACAATGGGAAAATTTTTTTCTTTCTTAGAAAGTTCTTGTAATGTTTGCCAACGTTCATTTTTTCGTGCTGAACATAATTTTCCATCACGACGAACCATTGAAATTTCAATATCATACTGATTAACAATTGCATCATCAATAGATACACGAAAATGATTTGTATATATTTGAATAGATTTGCCTGCTTTACCATATTCATCAGGACGATGAATTGGTGTTAATACAGCTGAATCAGGAACAGCTGAATATAAAATTCGACGTTGATATGATGGACGAGTTGTTTGAGAACGAGCTTCACTCGTTGATTCAGATCCTCCCAATGAAACTCTATTCATTGCTTCTGTTAGTGTTGGATATTCACTTTGAGAACGCTCAGGTACTGTTACAGTACTTCTAGTTGGATTACTAGAGATTAGTTTCGGAACAGTTGAACCAGTTGATCGAGCTTAATGAAAAACAATAAAAAATAAATTATGAATTTACTATGAATTAATCTTACATGGGCGTTTCGACATTTTATTTTTGATTATTAATACGAAAGGTAATGATATGAAATAATTTATCTGGAAAAAAAAACAATATTTTATAGACACAAATAAAATATTCTTTCGTATAACTATTGAGAAAAATTTTCGTCTTTATATACTCAACAAATAGAGAAATATTCTCAGAATAAAAATATTTATATTACGATAAAAATCTCCACTACAAATATGGAATAAATTTCACACTGGGAAAAAAAAAGGTGGGTCAGAAGAATTTTGTAAGGTAGATAAAGTACACGAACAGAACAAAACAAAAATACCTCGACATATTCACATGTAGTTGACAATAAATTTCTAATGAAAAAGAAAAAAAGAAAAAGAAAGCTTTTACTTAAAAATAACTTTATATTCTAATATGAGATCAAGATTCCGATTTATATTAGTTAGTTTAAACGACATAATAACAATTTACTGTTTTTTGCATACTAAATAGCACAAACTTTCAGGTCATTAAAAAAAACCCACAATTATACGAATCAAACGTTCTCGCACGTACTGATAAGAAAGATAGGCATTTAATTATAGTCTTATGAGTAAATTTTTCATATAATTAAATAAAATCATTCGATTAATTTTCATAGAGGTTTAAATTTGAGATAGTTACAAATAATTAATATTAAACTGAAGACAATATGACAATAAACAAAAACAAAAAACAATGACAATATTTATTATAATAAACATATGATAAAAATAAGTTCTCTTTCAGTTTTGTTTTTCTCAAAATATTTGATAAAAATCTATATAGTTTATTTAAATAAAGTGAGATGTTTTAAAAGTACTAAATGGACATTGATCAGATGATGAAGGTAATTTATTAATTATATTTGAAATTGGTTTTCCTCGATCATTTATTTCATACATTGTTGGATGATAATCAGATAAAACATCATTATCAACGATTTCATTTTTTGATTCTAATATAATTGTATGTTCAATATATGCATCTTTAGCTCCATTTAACCAATATGTTTGCATTTCACCTTTACCCTATATTTATTAAAATAAAAATAAATATTTATATTATTATTATATTAAATAGAAAAAAAAACCTTCATTTGAATTTTTCCTCGAGGATTTGTTTCAAAATAAGTCGAATCTTTTAATAATTGCCAAGCTGCTGCACTTAAATGAATTCGACCCACCTTAAAGTGATACGAATTATTTATGAATTTTTGTTAAGATAAATCACTTACATCACTTGTTGTTGTCACTCGACTTGCCTAAGAAATAAAAATCGAATAAAATAAACAAAATTAAATTCTAATAGAATAGAAACCGTATTAACAGTATCACCAAAAAGACAATATTGATAATTTTTATGTCCAACAATTCCTCCAACAGCTGGACCTGAATGAAAACCAATTTTTGTTTTAAATGGTATTTTGCTTATTTTATTAATTATTTTTTTTGATTGTTTTAAAATTTCAAGAGCAAGTCCAGCAACAATTTCAGCTTGATTTAAACCAAGTGGATTTTTTATAGTTGTTACTCCGTCTTCTAAACTATCTTCACCTACTGAACTTCTTGCACTTGATGATGACTTCAATCATAAAAAAACAAAACAAAACAAAAGATTAAATTAAATAGAAAATAAATAAATCTTTACCATATTTGATATTCGTCTTTGTTGAGGTCGTTCTTGAATACCCGAAACAATCATATAAGATGAATCAGCTTTTGTTTCAACCTTTATTTGAAAGTTTTTTTTTTTTTCTTTATAAATTTCTTTAATATTTTACTTTAAAAACATCATATTTTTCTGAACATTGATCAAACATAATAACCATTTGATTAATAGATTGAACTATTTCTGTTGGGGATAATTTTTGTATAACATCTTTAAAATCTAATGTATAACAAAATAAAACAGTTATCAATTTATGTGACTAAAATTATAAAAAAACCAAACAAAAATAAATAAATAATTAAAAAAAAATTTTCAAAATAAAAACTTCGCAAATTGAATTAGCTACAACTCCTTGTTGAAGCATTTGAGCTATATGACGTGGCATCATTGAATAAAGAAGACGTTTTCCTTTTCGACGCCATTCTTGTAATTCAACTTTAGTTGCTTGTAATTGTGTTATCCAAGCATGTTGCTTAAATTAGTTAGATTTTCTTTTTTATTAATCAAAACAAAAAAAAAAATATTTTTATCATACTTTATCAATAGCTGCTTGCAATTGTTTTGCATGTTGCATACCTGCTATCAGAATTTCACTACTTCCATCATAAAAATTTAAATCATGAAGTGTTAATCCAATATTCATCATTTCTTCAGTTGTTGATAATCTATTTGGTTTTTTTTTATCATTAATTATTTTCTTAAAAATAATAATAATAATAAAAAAAAAAAGAAAAAACATACACAGGATGACATAAAAAAACAATCATATTCCAACTTGATATCCATTTCATTTGTCCTTTTAATCGAATAGCTGAACTTCCTGTTGTTCCTATTGTTTTTCTAAGTCTTTGAATTATTGAATTTTCATTTGATTTATTTCCTTTATCAGATCGTAGTGGTATTCGACTTTCTATTAAAAATACAATATGTCGACCATAACTAAGTACCTTTATATAGAAACAAATCAATATAAGAATAAAAATAAAATAAAAAAAAACTAACTTTATCCCATTGAAATACAATATCTGGTCGAACAAGTCGAAAAATTTCATCAACGTATCGACCAGTTAAAACAGTATCAACAGGAAAAAGACTTTTTATTGATTTTCCCATATGATATATACGCATTGATGGATCAATTAAAAGACAAAATGGAAATACTTTAAAAAATGTTTCACTTGTTATATCTGGTAAATTTGGAATATTAAGAAAACGTTTTGATGTTTCTTTAACAGCTGAATTATTAAAATCAACTCGAAATATAATAAGAGTACCTAGAAATAATTTCTTTCTTTTTTTTTTTTTCTTTTTCAATTAAAAAATGTTATATGATTACATTCATTTGTTGATATGTCATCTTGAACTCTAACATATATATCTTCATTATAAAATTGTGTTGCACATTCTCTCAATTGACCAACAATATATCGTTGAAAACCTCGACGACGTGATCTGATTTTTTTTGTTTTAATTAAAAAAAATATTTCTAAATAATTATTTAAAAATAAATATTTTACTTATATTGAAGAAAAGCTCCATGTTCATCTTCCTCAAGTACATGAAATAATGGAGATTTCATTTGTGGAAAACTAAATTTAGTTGAATCATGAAGTTGATCTATTGAATGAAGAAAATCTCTAAAATGTCTTCCAGCAACACGTAAGATTTTATCATAACCATAATTTGTAAAAAAACGAACAAAACATTCACCAAAAAATTGCATATAATATTCTAATGTTCCTTCATGAAGAATATCAGCAAGACCTTATTTAACATATAGATTTATTTATTTATAGAAATTAATTCAAATAAATAAAAACTATTTACATTCTGCTATTTTTTCGATTAAATTATCTTCATATCGACCGAGTGTTGTAAATGATTCATGTTCAAAATTAAGTTCCTGTACTATTTTTTTCCATATATGATATCCATAACTAAGACATATACCATCTCGTGCACTTTCCAATAATATTCCATAAAGCATGTTTAATCAAATAGATGATAACTCGAACAGACAGAAAACAAATACACTTTTATAATAATCCTTAAGCAGATACTATCAAACGTAAAAAAAAAAAACGTAGAAAGTGGAAGAAGATTATATTTCCAAATGAATAATTTATTATAAAAAAAAAAAAAGCATCATGTGTTCTTTCATGTAAAGATAAGAGAAAATCTTGAAAATAAATTTTTTATTGCTGATCTTCTTACAATAAAACAAAAAAAAGGTTCGTCATTGTATTCTATTACGAAAATAATTTTCTCTTAATATGAAATTCTATTCTATTTAGGATATTCTTTAATAGATTCAATTTCAGAATTAATTCCTTTATTAATGAAATAGAAAAAAAAAAAAAAAAAGAAAAGTTTTAATAAAAGAAAAAAAACCAAGAGATGCTAAATCTGCTTGTCACTTCCATCACCAATGACAGTCATACATTTTGTTAAAGTCTTTTTTGTTGGTGTTATTTGTTTTTCATCATTTTTAATATAATCATGAAGATTTTCTAATTCAACTGTTCGATGAAGAGGTGCAAAACTTGTTGGATTTCTATTTGTTGTTGAACATGATGTTAAATCAATAAGTTCACTAGAATTTTGAACTGATGATGATGAGAAAGTTTGAGATGATGATGATGTTGATGACATAACACGCTATGTTCAAATAGAATAAATAGCAACCAAATAAGAATAGAATATCTTTTTTTTCTTTTTTTGCTATGCTTTTTCTTGCTTCGCTAATCTAATGGGAAAGATTTTTTTTTTTTTTTTGTTATTTGTCACAAAAGGGATTCCTCTCTTTTCTAACTATTATAAATACAATCAACTCAATTTGCACGTACTAACATCTAACATTCGTGAACAGATTTGAAATTATTATTATTATTTTAAATAATCAATTTAATTAAAACATAAAAAGGAATTTTTTTTTAAACATAATTCTATTTTCCGAACAAAATATAATTAACACATACCGGAAAGAAAAATAGAGCATATCTTCTTTTAGATAATAATCAATATAGAAAAGGAAAAAAAACAGGAAGACCACATTTATAAAAGAAATTATTTTCTCTTAAAGAAGAAAGTAAAAAAATTTTCAATGCATTCATCATAAAATAAAAGATTTCCGTTCATCAATCTATACTCATCTTATCAAGGAGAATAATAAACTAATGCTACCAACAGATTCTATTCATATGGAACTATTTTCTTCCAGCTAAAATACAAACTCATTAACACAAGAATGTTATTTCCGTTTATTAGTTTTTATTGCTTTTTTTCTTTTTATCATCAGTTATATCTTCTAGAATATTTATTTCATGTCAAACAAGACAGTTTTCTCAAACATTTCTTATAAAATATATTTTTTTTTTTATAAAAACTAAATAATTATCGAAGATTATTTATTTACTATAAATATTTAATAGTACAAATCATTAAAAGATTTTTATTCAATTTTCATAAAAGATTAATTAAGAGACAAGAACATTCAAAACAAATATTATATTCACAAAATTTTATTTAAATCATTAACAATTCAATCGAAAAATCAACCATTATATTATTCCCAAATGATAATCATATAGACTTACAATTTCAACGTTTTTACTTTCTAATAATCCTCATATAGTTGAAGAGATCAATATGATTTGAACTTTTAAAAAAAACCAGGTCAGTTCAGTACGGTTCCATAAAAACACGAATCAATCTTAATTCTAATTCCTATACAAACATCTACATATAGATATTAATTATTCCATATGATAAAAATGGCTCGAAATTTGTTTCATTGAATTTAAGTTTTATACTATTTGACCTTGATAGAAATAAATTGTTTTCTATACAACTACAAAATGTCGGAAAAGTTGATCGGAAAAGTAAACATAAATATCTATTTGAGAATTGAAGCCATTTCGATAGTTGTTTATAAGATGACAAGAATTTGTTTATAGTTTTATTCAGTATATTTTCCGGATGTCTCTTTGTGTGCATTAATATTAAGTAAAAAATAATATTATTATTGCCCTCATTCACATAAGATTCAATCAATAGATCAAAATTATTTATCAAATTTGACAAAGAAAGAAATAGTAGCAAACTCGATTTAAAACAAAATACTTAAGAGATTTTTATGAAACTAATGTTGTTGCAAATTAATTATATTCTGAAAGATATCAAAAAATTAAAGAGAAAAAATAAAATAAAGATTGTTATCCTTGACAATAGAGCATCTTACAATATCTTACTAATTTCACACGAACAATTGTTTACTAAAGTAAGACTCAGTTTATTTCATCGAACTCATACTAAATATAATTTTACTAAAATAATTTAAAAGTTCACATTTGAATATATTAAACTCTAATATCATTCGAAGAATGTAGAAACAATCAAAAGAATTCTTTTTTTTTTACACAAAGTTGCTTTTCATTTCAATCAGTTTATCAATAAACCTAAAGTAAAATCCAATGAGTATTCGTTTAGCTGGTGTTTCTCTCATAAAGAGTATTCCATCATGTGATGTTATAATATCAGACGATAGAACAAGTTTTATGGGAATAGGCACCAACTGTAATGTTATCAGTGGAACATCAGCTAAATGAATATCAAGGCAATGTCTATATGATAATTATTGAATATAAAATTCAATTTAAAATGAGTATTAATAACAAAAATAAATTAATAAAAAGATAAAACATATATAAGAGACATTAAGGAAAGATAAAGTTAGATAAATTTCGTTTTTAATTAACCACAAAACTACGAAAATAATTTTTTTATTCAAAAATAAATTTTAATATTCATTAAAAGAACATAACGAGTAGTTGCTATATTTAAGTAAGATAAAATATTCATAATCAATATTAATATTGTAATGTATGCATCAATGACTTTCTGTGTCGACGTCAAAAATCATATTCGAAAGTATTTTTATTAATAAGCAAATTAACATAGTTATTTTATTTTATTTTTTTGAATATCAAATTCCGAGAGAAGATATTTATTATTCTACTATAGGGAATACACAAGATAAAAAAAATCTTTGATTATTTTTTTTTTTTGTTGGAATATAAGTCAATAAAGGCTAACAAGATAATATATTTTTACTTTAAATATTATTGATGAAGCAGGTCAAAGACCAATATACATCGAAGAAAAAAGAAATACTATTCAAATAAATATTAATTTAAAGACCGGTTCTTTTTTGGTCGAAGTTTGCTAAGACAAACTAGATTTCAATTAAACTCTATATAAGATCAATCCTTCGTTACCATCTTTTTAAAAACCTTGTTGAAGTTTTTTCCTAAACCTCAACATTGTCTGACTCTTTCATAAATCATGAGACATGAAAAAATTAATTAATATGTAGAGAGAAAATAAATCCTAATCATAAGTCTTAAGTATTTGTGTCAATCTTTCAATTGATATATTTATTAGATAATATCTTATCTTAGAATTATCAGTCAAAAGATATTTTTTGCAATCGATCAATATTAGTTTTTTTTAAAATAAAGTTCACAATAATTCTATATTAAAAAAAAATCGTGTCTATTGTAGCAGCCAATAAATCTTTATCCTATTCAAGATTCATCATAATCCATTGATTGCATGTTTACTCGAATAATAATCGATTTGAAAAGGATTAAATATCTGGAAAACATTACGTGCAGAACGAATTACCAATGAACAATGATTCTATTGTGAATTATTTAATAATCAAGTTTTTATCTCAAGATAATAAAGTATAATCCATTGAAAATCTATGGAGAATATTAAAAAGAAAAAATATGAGAAGAACAATTTTCAAGCTTTAAATAAACAAAAAATAATTTGTAATTGTTGATTAAATTTCTAAAAGATTTGCCCAATTAATAAAAAAACAAAAGTAGTGAACAACAAATATGTGATAGTTTATTTCAAAAACAATCGACTTATTTCTTTCAATTCTGGATAGACATGTACTCGGTCGAGTTTATTTTTTGTCTCAATTCACTCCTACTAATTTTTTTCCATTGGATCCGATTGTATTCTCGGTAAATCGGATTAAGTATCCGATAATTTCTTTTCCAGTAATTCTGATTATGGGCTCGATAAATTGAATGTAGTTACCCATCTAGAGAAAACTATTCGAGAATTTATTTCTATTACATATAAAACAAAATTCTTCAATTATCTTCTCATTGATAGAATTTATAAGATAATTCATTCAAAATCATAGAATATTTAAAAGAAAAATTCGCTTGAAATATGTAACAACTATTGACGTTCACTTTCTATTCGATATTTTATATTAATTATAATTTATATCAAACTGACTTTCACTAGGTATTCATATTCTTTAACAATAAAGCGGTACAACTGATTTCTTTGTTTCTTCTTTTCTTGTGTAATCATAAATCTAGAAGATTTAAGAGATCACCCATGAGGAGATCGAGACACTAGTCAATGTTTAGATTTTTTATGTGCGTTTCAAAGACCACAGTCTAAAACCACCAAATACAAATTTTTAGCTCATTTTGGATGTACTATAGTAAAGTCAGCCAATACCGACTTTCAAACACTACCAACTTACTATCCAAAAAAAAATAGTCGAAAATCGCCTCATAAATATTTATTAGGATTATGCTTCAACAAAACAAAGAATTTATCCATAGAATATACTAAAAGATTGAGTATCAATTGCTGAAAAAAAAATATACCGTTTAAATAATTTGATATAATCTATCTACTGAATTATTGTAGTCGAATATGAATGAGAAATATCAGTTGAAAATAGTCGATTATTGAGAGTATATTTTATATCAATTTTCGAAATAAAAACAAACCAAACTGAATTTTTGATATATTATGTGTAACTTTTGATTCTCTACAAAATGGTAAAACATCGAAAAAAAAAGTTTCCCTTCGAGAACTCACAAATCTCTAATTTCTAGCAATTTTCATTGATAAGACACAAATTGTAAATCAAAATAATTGTTACATTCGGAATCAACATAAAAAACTACATCGAATCTAATAAATTCTAGAGAGTTTTTTTTCCTGAGAAAAACTGGCCACTGAAGGATCACGGGGCAAGAGTTTAACAAAAATACAGCTATGGGGAACTACAGGTGATTTTTCTTAGGAAAAAAATGTCCCTAGAATTTATTAGATTCGATGTAGTGTTTTATGTTGATTCCGAATGTAACAATTATTTTGATTTACAATTTGTGTCTTATCAATGAAAATTGCTAGAAATTAGAGATTTGTGAGTTCTCGAAGGGAAACTTTTTTTTTCGATGTTTTACCATTTTGTAGAGAATCAAAAGTTACACATAATATATCGAAAATTCAGTTTGGTTTGTTTTTATTTCGAAAATTGATATAAAATATACTCTCAATAATCGACTATTTTCAACTGATATTTCTCATTCATGTTCGACTACAATAATTCAGTAAATAGATTATATCAAATTATTTAAACAGCACATTTTTTATCAGCAATTGATACTCTATTTTTTAGTATATTCGATGGTTAAATTCTTTGTTTTGTTGAAGCATAATCCTAATAAATATTTATGAGGCGATTTTCGACTATTTTTTTTTGGATAGTACGTTGGTAGTGCTTGAAAGTCGATATTGACTAGCTCTACTATAGTGCATTCAAATAAGCTTAAAATTTGTGTTTGTTGATTTGAGAGTATGGTTTTCAGATGCACATAAACATTGACCTGTGCCTCGTATACTAATTATTGAGAGCTAGCGATGTATATATTCCTATATAATTTTTTAAACAAAATTTTCAACCTGCAGTATTCGAATATTAACAAATATTGTTTTAGATATATATATCTAAAAAAAAGCAATTTGTTAATTAGTGACATCTTTTTTCTATAGAATCTAATTGGTTGAATATAACGACACGTTTAATCATTAGAATTATTTCTTTTTCATCGCAGTTTATTTATTAGAAAAAAATTTTCTACTGAGTTGTTGTTTGATTATAAAAAAATCCTAAGAGGAAAAAAAAAATTGAAAAATGGATGAATCGTTTTGGTCATCATTGGAATCAATTGCTTCAAAGTTATTATCACCTCATTGTTATGATCAATTAGTATTAAAACAACAATTTTTTGATTTTGCTTGTAATAAAATGTTACTAAGTAAAATGCTTGGTTATGCTATATTAATTGGTTCATTACTTGTTAAATTTCCTCAAATAGTTAAAATATATTGGAATAAATCAGGTGTTGGTGTTAGTGTATTAGCTGAAACAATTATGTTAGCAGCTATATTTGGATCAATGGCTTATGGTTATACATCTGAATTTCCAATATCAGCTTATGGAGATTCATATTTTCTATTTATTCAAACAATATTAGTTATTTTATTGGTACTTTATTATAAACGAAAATATACATTGGCTCTTATTTATTTAGGTTTGTTTTATTTATTATTTAACATATTCTATACTATCGAATCAAATTCAATATTTTTTAACATATTAATAGAAATTTTAAGATTTATTTTTGTATCATATCTAATTAAATGAGAATAAGGATAAACATCTCCTTCTCTCGATACATGTTCAAATAAATATGAAAATTAATCCTCAGCTTGAGTCCATCGGGTCCCGGATATGATATGCTCTATCCTCAGGACTAAGATTTTATGCTAAAATTTAATAGGTCTTCTATCACTTAGTCTTGATTAATTGTAACTTGTTATTTCACTTCTAAATATATACATTACACCAAACCCTACTGAAAGCTTTTCTTTTTTATTATAAAAGACAATTATTGATGAAATAGCGAATAAAAACAATGGGAAAATTATCTTTTGTTTTTATTCAATTAACAGTCAACAGATTGACAGAAGAGGTTATGGACATCTTGACCTTAGAAAATTCGTTTTTTTTCTTTGAGAAAAAAAAAATGAACCTTGCATTTTTTATCACATAAAAATGCATCGAAATTTCTTCGTTATGAATATAAATCACTTTTCAAAAAAGAAAAAGGCTAAATTTAAAGAGATTATTGAAAGAGATTTTGACTCTACTATCCACTTTTTCGAGAAGATGTTGATAAGACTATTTTTTTATTTGCATCATCATTGAATAAACATTCTTATTTATAGTTAAAGTACGACAGATGATGCTCTAGGTGGTCCCGTCTGCTGTTACATAGTTTTAAATATTCTACTTGAATATATAATGATCATGACATTTGGACATGATTTTTTTTTGTTTTTTGTTTTGAGTAAACTTTTCTCCGATCAGATTTATTTTGGTAAAGTCACTATGTTATTTTTTTGCTTATTTAAACACGATAATATACTAAAATAAATGAAAGAAAAATTTCAAAATTTTGTTCGAATAAAAATTGTGCACAAGTATTTAATTTCATTTGAAAATACTTCAAGCTGTGTACAAAAATTCTATGGTCTCTCTCTCCTCAAGGTCATATATATATCCTATAAATAAACAACAAGTTCAATCTAGTTTGAACTGAAATGTAACTATAAATTTTTTGACTAAAGAAGAGAATTGTAGAGAAAGATATCTTCAATGCATTATCAAGTCCACGTAGATATCAATGATATTTCAATAGATGCCACTATCTTATTCTATTCTAGATGATATTATAAATTGATATGTCATATCTACCTAGTAGAACTTTATAGTACATAGAGAAAGTCTTTCTCATTGTGTCCGTTCATTTGTGAAAATTTTAGTTTAAATTAACCATTCTATATCTGAGAGAGGAGACAAGGTTAAACTATTTGTCCTTCGATCATTTCAATATATATAAAATAAAATAAAATCTTTTTCTTTTTTTGTTTAGTTTTATGTGTTTTTGTTACTGTTTTAATGTATGAAAAACTCCTTCCGGCTCGTTTAGTTGGTATATTAGCTGGTTTATCGCTGGTATTAAGTTTAATAAGTCGTCTTTGGCAATCATTTTGCATATATAAAGCAAAATCAACTGGAAATCTATCAGCGTTAACAATGTTAATGTTATTTTTTGGTTCACTTGCACGAATATTTACATCAATTGAAGAAACAGGAGATCCAACACTTATTTGGACATATATATTGAATTCATTTGCCAATTTTTTATTAGTATTTCAATTAGGATATTATTGGTCGGCACCTGCTTCAGGTTTAGAACAAACAAAAAAAGTTCAATAAACATAAACTTTTTTTCTTTTTTTTTTTGTTTTTCATATTGTCTGTCGAAAGAAAAAAAAAGAGAGTGAAACACATTATTTAGAATTTTTCTTCTTTGATTATAGATTTAAAAGAAAAAATGTCAGACGAAGCAATTATTGAAGATGAACCTGAAGATGAACAACAATTACCTTCATCAAGACCTCAAACAGAAACAGGTCTTTTAACATGGTCATATGCTTTTCAACTTTGTAAATATTTCATTTTTTTTCTTTTTATTCGATATTATTTTTAATTTAATTTAGTAACAAAACAATGGGCAATATTTTTATTAATATCAATAGGAATAGCTCTTTTTCTTTATGTAAGTGCACAACGACGACGACGTAATAAACAAGATAAAACTGGTTCACAAATTCGTCATGATCATATTCAAGGTGGAAATAAACGAAATCTCAGGAAAGACAACAAATAAACGAGAATGAAACTTGGTTTTTTTGTGAAATCCCTTTATCATTGATTCGTTCATAAATAAATAAAAACTAGTCCCTATATTAAAATATTAGTTTTCTTAATCAGTCAATAAAAGATTAATTAAATCAACAAAATTTTTTGTTTCACAGTGGCACGATTGACATTCATAATCAATTATCAAACAAATAATATTGTCTTCATCTAATAAAATACTTTAAATTAATAGAATCCATTGATAACATTCAAATCAGATATATTGACAGTCTAATCCATGATTCATTATCTAGATTGGATCTTTAACGGATTACACTTTAGATATTTTAACCATTGATAGTTTATGTTTGTAAGTGTATTTGTGGATTCAATCTCTTTACAAATTTTCCTTTTTACTCTTTCCCCTTCTCCACATATGGTGACGAACAAAAGTTTCGATCCCCTTTTATTTTTATAAATTATTTTATTCAAACTAATTTATTGAAGACATCCAAATAGTGATTTGAATAGACAATCAAGAACTCTCTCTAACATATTATATAGTGGAATTTCATCAATAGATTATGACGACAAGGTTTATAAAAAAGTGAAAACTGTATTTTTCAAGTCCTTGAAGACTTTTTGGGAATTGTTTTTTGACAATCTCATCTTAAATTGAGAAATTACAGGCATCACAAAACACGAAAGCAACTGAATTTTATCAAAAAATCGGCTAAAAAATGCATTTTTTTGTTTTGCTATGATACCTGTATAACTTCTCAATTTAAGATGGGATTATCAAAAAACAATTTTCACAAAGCCTTCAAGGACTCGAAAAATACGGTTTTCAGTTTTTTAGTAAATCTCACCGTCATAATCTATTGATAAGATCCTACTATATAATGTTTTAGATAGAGTTCTTCATTGGATATTCACATCACTATTTCGATGTTTTCAACAAATCATTTTGAGCAAAATAATTCACAAAAATAAAAGGTGATCGAAACTTTTGTCCGTCACTATATTTAAGTTAACTATTAATGCAATTTCTTAGTTTCTCTATTGATTTAGTTGTTTTCATGACGTTTTCGTTTTACCGATTGACCTACCTATTTTGAAAGATGCACACATATAACATGTACTTTGGATATAGGTGTGCCTTTTCTCTTTGACGCAACAAACAACAAACCTGGCCAGGTACACAAGCGAGTTTATTGAATCATGTGTTATTAGTTCACTGAATACACAATATGAGAATAAATGATGAGTAATCGATTTTTTCTTCCAAACTTATCGTCATTATTATCCTATTCGAAATTGTATTCATTAGTTTATCATAGTTGGTATAAGAACCTCAATTGAAATTGAATTGCACGAAATAATTAAAAAAAAGAAAAGAACAAAAATTATTAAAAAAACAACGGTTTTTTTTTATTTTTAAATTTTTGATAATGAATGCAGAACCTTTCATTTAAATAATCATTTGTAAATAAAGTCATATTAAATCTATTAAATAAAATATATTAATATATTATTTTTCTTTTCGAATGGTGTTTTTTTCCTTGTATGAGTCATATTATTATTAATCTTCGTTGTCTTACTCATATTATGATATTATAACGACACTGAATCATTGCTTCTCTTTTAATAATTTATGGGATCATTTTGAAAATGTTGACGAATTTTTTTTTTGTATTTAATCTGTCTAATAAAATTTGTTTTATAAAGAATTTTTTAATCTTTCTTCTTTATTGACTTGTTGTTTATTTATTGACATCCAAATAATCATGTTTCCAATTTTATATGTTAACTATATTTATCATTAGAAAATCACAAAACCCCTAATAACAAATATGAAGGCTGTCTACAATATCTTGTACTTTTCGATATTGTATTACTCTCATAAACAACGAACACCATCACCGAAATTAGTTTTAAATCAATAAATCCATTAAGTTATTTGAAATCTTGTTTTCGACATGATATATTGCATAAATAATTGAATTTTTGTTACTGATATCATATTATCGATACTAATTTAAATTAAGTTTTTTTTCAGGAAGTGTAGAATAGTGATGAAATTCTTTTAGATTACATTCTCATTATTCAAATTATTCGAAGCCTCTATTTTTATTTTTATTTAACAAAAAAAAATGAAAATTCATTTATTTCAAAGGTAAACCAGCAACTTGTCGACATTTATACATTGTAGCTCGTAAAATAAATTGTTTTCGAGAAAGTTCTCTAACATGCTAAAAGAAAAAAAAAATAATAAAAATCTAGTTAAAGAACAAAAAAGAAAACAAACTTTTAAATAAGTATCTAATCCAATAGATTTTCTTCGAAGTCCATCAGCAAGATAATATAATAAATCTTGAATAGCATGTTCTTCGGCATAACCTTGTAAAAGTCTTTTAAAAAGAAAAGAACAAATAAATAAAATAAGAAAATAAAAATGGTTAACTGTTTATAAACAGGTGCAGGAGTTATAAGAGCATCTTCTTTAATAGAATTTCCTTTTCCTGATGATAAAGACATTTTTTGTGTAGCTTCTAACATTTCATTAGTTTTTGCTTTTATGTTCATAATATAATTCTAGAAAAACAAAAATCGATAAATGAAATTGAATAAAATAAAAAATAAAAATAAACTTGTGCTTGAATTTGTTGTTGTTGTGCATCATTAATAAACAATTGAATTTTTTTTTCACCATCAATTAAATCTTGTTCAGTTCGTTGAAGTGAATCAATTTGTGCTTTTCCTATTTGCATTGTTTCATCTAAACGAGTTCGAACTCTATCAAAAACAGCTGTTTGTACTGAATCTCGATAAATATCTTGAGGAATTTGTGTTTGTGGATATCCATATGGATTTGAATATGATGGATTTCCTTGAGTACCACCTATTCCCGTTCCTATTGGTGTTGGCATCGGCATTAATGATGCATTTGTTGGATATGGTGTTGAACGATTAGTCATACTCGAATTTGAATATACTGGAGGTGATTGACTAAATGCATCAGACATTGATTTTAATAAATTCAATATATCACTATTTGGCTAAAATAAAATAAAATAATATTTAAAATAAATAAAATAAATAAATATTTTACATGACGCCAGTTTTGAAGATAAGGTATAATAATAGTTCCATCAGGTTGAACATCTCTACTTGCTGTTGAAACATACATATCTGGTGTTGGTTTAACATAAGCTAATGGTGGAATATGTGGATGATCTTGTTGAAACCATATTTCAATAGGAATATTATATCGATTTCCTTTATATTGACAAGCAACAGTACCAGCCAAACAAAGTAATTCTTTTGAAGTTCCATCATTATAATAATATTCAACTAATTTTAATACCAAATTACCTATTGGTGAATTAAGTCCTTGATTTATATCTCGACGAACCAAATCACGATTTTTAGGCTTTGAAATAGAAAAGATTTTTATTTTTTTTTTTTAAATATTTAATTTCTTATTTTTACTCGTGCTCGTTGAATCATTTGATCAATTTCATTTTGTGATTGTTTCACCATGATATTCGTTAGTCAAAAAGAAAAGAAAATGGAATGAAATAATGAATCAGAATTTACATAAAACAATGTCTTGTCAAATGACTCGGTGTACATGTATTATTTTAACCATTAAACTAACGAGAATGAAGAGGTCGCTCCTTCGTTGCAGAGGCTGCGCGAGGGTACGAAGATTGGGGGGGGGGGGGGGGGGGTATAAAGGTACTTTTTGCAACAAAACCTCATAAAAATATGATAGGAAGTTCAAAAAATCCATTTCTATCATTGAAAAAAGCTGAAAATTTCCCATTATCGTGGATGTGTACACTCCCACTTTCGCAGCTCCTACTTCGTTGTTTAATTAATCGGAAGAATCCTTTTATGATATTCGTTCATTGAAAAGGTTTGACATTATTAGTTAAAAATGCTTTCAATGATAAAAAAGAAAAAACCTATTCGAAAGCAAATGAACTAGACCTGAAGTGGAAAAGCTATGATCAAATTTTCAGTCCGAAATTATGAGGTTTAGAAGAGATATTGACCAAACAATGGTGAAAAATAGGTCATTTGACATCCGAAATTTCTCGGTCCAGATTCGTCCAATATACTTAAATTTTTTGTTTGTTTGAAAAGAGTATGTCAAGATGTCGAGCATGACGAGGCTCGATTTTTTTAAATACCCACTTTACAAGCGCAAAGAAGGAATAGAGAGTTCGATGACCGAAAAAAAAACCCTCGAAAAAATGCTGTCACTTTCTGTAAATGACTACATATATAACAAAAATAGGTCTAATTTAAAAAACTGGCCTTGTTATGCTCTACATCTTTACATGTTCTTTGAAATAAAAAAGAATTTAAATATATTGGACGGACCTGGACAGAGAAATTTTGGATATGCGTTTGAGATAGTGAAAAATGAGAGAAAAAAAAACGTTTTTTGATTTTTCGAATAGGAGGTCTTGGAAAACTTGAAAAAGTTTTGGAGAAAACAAGCTGTCAATAAAAAATTTTTATTGTTTATGAAAGAGCAAATGAGAAGCTATCTTTTCATACTTGTACCTCAATTTTGATGAAAACTGACTTTTTTTGAAGGGGGAGGATCAAGAAATAAAGGCAATTATTTCATTTTATCAATAAAGAGATAATACGAATAATAATAACAACATTGCTTGAAAAGAAACAACAATGTCAACAGGATTACAGTAACAAGGGATGATCCGACACAGGAAATAGAAATTTTCTCTTATAATACGCATGTCTTTTTTTATTCTGAACGATAGAAAAAGATTTTTGCTAGACGGTAGGTATAGAAAACATTTTTTGTATTCAATAGTGCTTTTATTTTCCGAAAAATATCACCTAGTAATGTTTCCATGATGGTTTTCGTGAGATCTACTTATTGCCTTTGCCAAATCACCTCGAATGAAGTGGCTTGGCAATCAACATATACATACGAGATGATTTGGCAATTCCATACATCTTATGCATAGATAATAAAATATATTTTTT